AAAAAACGGTACGTGGCTCTTTTGATTACTGAAGCTAGCTCATTATGTAATTGCCGCGACCGGACAAATACCCCCTTCGAAAGTACTTCCTTCGTCAAAATCTCGTACAACCCCTTACTTGACGTACTTCTAAGAGATATTATATCTCGCAGATTTTGTGAATTTTTGCGCTTTCTTCACCATCAAAGTGCTATTGTATTTTACACCACCACCCCTAACATAACATCAAATAAGTAAATCAAAACTATGGTGAACCTTGTCTTTGAAAGTCTGAAGATGACAACAACCAACACCCTATTACGCTACTTTTTTGTAATCTCCGATTTGCTCGAGCGAACGCAAGAAAAGTCTCCATTGGTCCCTCTCATTAGCTAATGTGGTCCAATGGGCCACCCAGGCTCGAAGTAAGGCATACCATTTCCTTCGTTCAGAGTTTTCATGAAAAAGTCTGACCATCGTGCTGACTGCCGTTCTGACGTTCGTTTGACGTCCCGAGGGATCCAGTCAGTAACACAACGGTCATCAATACATCGCATGAGGTGTCCGGCCCTTCTGATCTTCATTCTTTCACGTCCATTATCTTCCTCCTTTGACGTAGCTCGAAACGATAACAGCGAAGGAGAAAATTGTAACGAGCCCCTCTATTTCCTCACTTACTCTACCTCTTTTTTTTTCTACTCTCTACAAATGTCCACTTCAACACTTCAATCCATCCTACCTCCTCTGTTTTACCGCAACCATTCTTTTCCTAGGAGCAGTGACTTCCACCGCAACTTTTCGTTCTTCCGCTTGCCTCGAAGGCTCTTCTGTGCCTTTTTTGGCAGGGGTTGGTAATCTCAATGACTTCTTTTCCAGTAATTCTTCTATTTCTATTTGCAGATTCAATTTCCTCTTCTACGTTCGTCATCAGTTTTTATGCAGTAGTATATATTCTGCACTGATATTGCTCTCCCACTGACTTGGAAACTGCTAGAAAATAGCGAAGAGATAGAACTAACCAAAAGACAACATGTTATGTGCTACCAACATCAATACAGTACTGGGAGGGGAACCACACCTATAAAAGTCTATTGCAGATCTATATTATCCTCATAATTACTACGCAGTTAATTTTTAATAGTGCTCCCGGAATGTCGTGGGCTAAGTAAGTAGTAGATGTCCTTCTTTCTTTTTTGTCTTTTAATGTTGATCAATCAATCCCGTTTAGAATGCATAATGCACCCCGCATTCGACTCTAATTCAGAATCTTAGTGATGTTTGAATTTCTGTATGGCCTATGCAATGACTTTGACTTGTAGTAGCAGCCGATGTAAAAGACAACGCTCCCTTCTCCCAATGGGGTCTAGTAAAAACTGATCGAACCCGAATAGATGAAAAGTTAGGTTGCCCAGGGCTTGTGCCATTTTGGGATTCGACCCCGGACTATGCGTGTGGACTTTTTAAGGCTTTGTATTTCATGAAATCCGTCGATTTTTGCGCTTTTTTCGCCACCCTTGCACCATTCTGCTCAATAGCTCCCGTCATTTCATTCAGACCAGATACCTTAGAAGTATGGTGAACTTTGCCTTCGAGTGAGAGATCAGAAGAGCTTTCATAGTCAGTTCCGCTCTACTTCAAGCAAGCAATTCTGATGTGTGATGACGATTAATCAGAATTTACTGACGAAATGGGTTTGTTCTCAGTAAATCACTATAAATCAGTCATAGCGTTACCCGAGCAACTAACTGCCTCACAAATAATGCACACAAAGCTGACAATGTCGTCGAAATGAGATGACGTGATGAGATCGGCTTCAAATGCACTTTATGTTATGACGATGTCGTCATTGTCTCGTAAATGCGATGAACTCCCCAGTTACTTTGATGCATTTACGATATTGAACAGGCGTGTCTCAGTCTCAAAATAGCCGTCATGCTCAGTGATTAAGTATCAAAGAACCCTCATGCTGCTAGAAAATGACTATCACAAGTGCATACGTCATGTCTCAGTAGGAAGCTGTGAGGGGTCATGAAATTGGTCATAAAAAGTGACAGACACTGACTTCCAGCAAATCAGTTTCGAATGTTCCCTCCTCAAAGTATGAAAGATAAAAATGTTGAACTATATTGGGACATATTGGACACCACTCTTTCAACTTCCATTCGGGATCGTAGTGACGTTTGGAGGCGAAAGTGACTCAGACGGGTGACGGTATTCCTACTCGAGTTTCCATGGTATGGTACTGAGATTCACGATGAGTGTTGTACCCATTCATTGACTTACGAAACCAGACAGTATTTCATTCTACCAACAGGGAAGAAAAAAAGCCAGACAGGAAAAGACTGACATCGACCTGGGATCAGATCCCTCAACCTCGTGCGTGCTAATGCAACAATTGATGCCCCACCTCACCGACATTCAGAACATACGTTTTAAAATTGGTTCGGGCTATTTCAATGGGTAGAATATTCAAAAAAAAACCTATTGCCAAACTTCAACTCAGCCATTCAGCAAATGGTGTTACCCTACCAAGCTATGGTCCGAGGAGCCGATCCTGATAAGGGCTATATGAGTCTAGGCCAACCAAACCTTTTAAACAGGATGGGTGCTGGAAGGAGTGGTGGTCTTTTCTATCTTTGGGTATGCATGAGAAAAAGTGTGATCTAGTAAAACGTTTCTGATCTAACGGAGGAAGAAATAGGTCGACCGTGCTCGAACAGACAGAAAAAGTATAAGTGGTGTAGTAGTATAAGTTGGGATTCGCGAGAGAGTTTTTTTCCCATCTGCACATGCACGGTCGACCACCCATATGGCGGGGGATTGGATGATTACCATTTACAGAGGACGACACCATCCATCCCTCTGCGGTCGATTAGTTGGCAACAGACACTCTGGAAGAGCATGAAGACATGACAAAAAGGAAAGAGATTCTAGAAGGACCATCATCTGTATTTTCAGTCGATTTTGAGTTCATGTTCTTTGGAGTATCTGGAACATGATCAGATTGCAAGTTAATAGTGGAAAATATTCACAATACACCCATGCTGCACATATCGAAATTTCGCTTGATTAGATCCAGTAGGAGAGGAGTTACGACTGAAATGTACGGCTGAAGTACCATTTCACCGAAGACTTTCGAGCGCTACTGTATGTCAAATATGGCAACAGACACTCTGGAAGAGCACGATTGTTGCCCTGCCCTGAACAAGACTGATCAACTCCAAAAACATCAACTTCTACATGGGTTTGGTTATCGAAGTGATTCGAAGACTATGACTAATAGCATATAAACAAGAAGGAGTCAAAAGAGAATGCAAAATTCAGATTTTCTTTGTAAATCCGACATGCGGTTGACGATGTCCCATCAAAAGGTGGTTCCATTGCATTTATTGATAAAAGAATCGTGGTAACCATACTAGCAGTATTGTGATTGGGATAAACTCACAGGATTTACAAAGGTATAGCTCACGATGAAAACGGTCTCTGAGATTCCCCACTAGAACGAGTTTGCCTCCAGAGATAGCATATGATTCGGCGAAAACGGTTGATAAATCACTGCAATGACTTAGAGATTGTCTCCATTATGCACCTAGAAAAGGCCGTGTTCTAGTGGCCTAGAGGAAGATGCATGTTGAAAATGGAGCGCACAATTTCGAAAACCAAACAGTTCATCTCCTCGGGCCTTGCTCATACTGACAGTAAAGCCAATTTTTCGTATTTTCTCCTTACTGTAGCACGCTCATTATGCAACTGCACAGAACCGAAATTTCGTCCAAATACCTCCTCCGCGCCCCTGCAGGCGTAAAAATCTCGTACAACCTCCTACCTCAACTACTTTTAAAAGCCGTAGAGTAACGAGTACTACAAAGATTTTCACACTTTCGTCACCAATGCACTATTGTGAACCTTGTTCCTCCTATTCCTAACACTGTTCCTTATTTACCTTGAAATAAGGAACTGTTGGTAAATAACAAACTGTGAACTGCACTTCCACGCTTATGACAACTTATTGACCATGAAACATCACAATAGCTTTGTGGCCATTAACTAGTCATATCTCACTCTGATCAGATTCAATGCAGAATAATTTACGTTCATTCCGTGCAAGCGATACTAAGCAGCAAACGAACGGAAACTTTGAAAAGCACACGTTGAAGATAACTATTTATTACGCATATGATAGAAATGAGAAGAGTCCCTTGACGACAATAAATAATTCGTACCCATTAACACTAAAAACAACAACAAAGGTGCTGGGCCGTTTTATGGAATAGTAACGGCCTCTTGGTAAAAGCTAAAAAATGAATCACAAGAAGGGAAGTAGACAGACAACAAAAACTCGATACCCAATTCGTGCCGGCAGTTTAGGGAAACAGCGACATGTAACTTTTATGGAATTTCATTAACATTTTTCAACTGCCACCTGATTCAACAATGACTATTTAGCCCGATTACTGACTGACTAATGCTTCTTAGTGGTATATGTGGCTGGGAACTTAACGACCGCTTGCCCTTCTGCTTGAGACAACCTCAGATAACCAGCGTTCGGCACAACGTTGTATCTGTAAAAGCGGAACCGATGCGACGAAAAAATAAAAATAAATAGAAGTAAACATTAAAAACTGGAACCTGATCCCTTCTGAAAACTGGGTACTTTTTAAAAGAGGTACATTAATACAAGATAGTCATTTTGGCAAAGTAACGAAATCTTAAATCTGTGCTTACCTGAGTACAAGAGTAACATTGGGATGATTGAGCAAGTTCGTGCCATCATCTAAGAAATAGTATTTGCTTTGAAGACGACGTTCATCTAGCACGACTCTTTCGCTTCGCAATACGATTTTATCCCAAAGGACCACCTGGTTCAGGGCCTAAACACAACGTTCTTTGATTCCGCGTCATACGTATTTTTCGTCTCAAAAGTGCATATCAAACATTCAAGATTATATATTCTACTTTGGACCAGTCAGGTATAAAAAACTATATGCTAAATATCATGTCCATACAAAAGAGAACGCGGTGTCCGAAAGCTCTCGCTGATTCTGATTGAGCGCAGATTCTAACTAATAGATTAACTTTTGAAAAAGTTCACTCACATTTTCTGGCGTCTCATACTCTGCCACGAGATATACAAACAACTGTTTCACATTCCAATTGAAAGCCTTCGTGAAATCTCCAGAGATGGTGAAGTCCAGCATTCCCAAGTCAGCTTTCTCAGATGATGATGAGTAGTCAGCAATTGAACGTCTACAATAACCAAAAACTAGTTCACCTCAATGGATGCTCCCCTAAAAAAATAATGTATTGATATGTCTTTCTTGCGTCTAAAGGCATAGTTCACGATGATTCCGGTATTGAGCTAGCTCAACCGGAACAGTGGAAGTCTTGGTGCAGAACAGTGCAAAAATGGCGAAGAAATAGCGAAAATCGAGAATTTCATGAAGTATAAGGCTTTAAAAAGGTAGTAAGAAAGGGGTTGTACAAGATTGTGTGTCTGGAACCGTATGGGTATCCCTACATAAGTGTGCAACTGAATGACGTCCTAATGCTTCATCGCGAATTGCGCAGCCTCAAAACGGCCGTCATTACACTGCCACAACGATGCCCTTTTAAAGCCTTGTAGAAGTCGTTTTTCTAATCGACCATGTCCCCATGCTATCCTCGGAGGACACAGATCCGTTTTTGCTGGGAATCTCAGATGCCATTTTATCGAGAGCAGTGCCTTCAAGCATGGTAGTGTCATATGAGGGTAGCACATCCATGATACTCTTCTAGAAATTCTCAATAAAAAAATGAAAAAAATTGCGATGGATTCTCCTAAGTAGTTGTCCCCGTAAAGCGGTAATCAACGTGGATCATGGAATCATATGTGGATTACTGCCTGTGTAGAGTGAGCTTTTCTTGGGTACAGCAAATATTTTCCTAAGGGGCGGCTCCCCAGGTGATTCAATAAGTTGCACGTGTAGCATTCCCCGATTTCTTTCATACAAATGGGCTGATCGAATTTCCATCGAACAAAGGAGAAAAAAAATTAATCGACTGAACTTTCAAAAGAACTTTTTCCCGCCTCGAATAACTTCCTTGCTGGATAGTTTACTGGATTATCGCTCAATTGAGCCTATTCAATTTCAGGAACATATTGAGCAGCGGAACCGAAAGTACCAAATAAGGTTTATCCCCCTAACGATGGAAGGGAACTGTTGTGAATAGTATTTCCTCAACATACTATAACTATAAGGTAGATACTATAAATTTGGAAAGGAGTCAGCTAGACATGTCACAACCAGCGAAAATTCGTTCTTTTTTACATAAAAGCACCCTTTCGCCTTACAAATGATCAAATATAACGGATAACTTACACTCTTGGATTGTTAACAGTGATATCCACTTTAGTCGAATAATCCAAGAACGTGGTACTGAGAAAACATGCGAATGTGACCGCGGCCAATACCCAAAGCATAAAGGCGAACAACGCATTCGCTCTCGAGTATATGGAATGCATGGCTGAAACTCGACGTACACAATAACACACTAGGTAATCAAGTCATCACTAAATCATAACATTTCAATTATGGTACGGTACACCGATTGGCTACGGCTAACAACCACAGAACCAGTCACATTTCTCAAAAAAATAAAACTATTTATTACATTCCAATCAGAAAACAGCACATACATACTAAAGCAAATATAGCAAGTATATACCCATGCTCAACACATTTAGTCATTTCAGAAATGTTAATCAAAACTAATACAGTTAGAAACAGTCGAAAAACATAAAAGTCTGGGACATAAACCTGAATCAATATAAGTGGAAAGGGAGATGGATGGTGAGATAGTAGACTTTTACCTGACTAGGACAAGCAATGTTGATTAAATTGCGCACATACCTACTACAAGTGAGGAAGAGGCTGCACATCAAAAGGATGATAATCGAGAGGTTTAAATTCGATTATGCTCAAGTTCGTGGATTTGAGGAAAATCCTGCTGATAATGAGTAGAGAAAAAAATCGAAGCCAATCGGTAGGTAGTCAATCTGTCAATTAGGTTCCCAGCGATTCTTACTCAGATCGACAACTACTAGGACGGTCCATAATCTCTGAATCACTGCGCACTTCCAACTTTGTTTTTTTTCTGAATCTATTGCGTGATATCTAGCAATAGCATCTATGACATACCGTCAATACTATTATAGCAACACCTCTCCACGCTACCCTTATGAGACTTCTGACCTAAAAAGGATAGTTAGGGCCTTTAATATGAGATTTCTCTGAAAACCAGTTGTTAACTGAATATGAGTCACAGCCTGTTCAACAGCGTCGCCTCGACTGTGTGTGTATGTTATGCTAGGTTATTTTTATTACGTGTCGCCTGTACTGAAGGTAGTAAGACGGCTAGAATAAATTCTTCCACCAGTGAGCGAAGGGTTGAAAGTTCAGGTGCCAACCTATTATGGGGCTGGAATACAGAGTAATTAAGGAATTTTGGACCAATGTTATACTAATAGTGCCTCACTTCAAAAAATCGGGTACCAAGACCGTGGATCAAGTGAGACCTCAGCTGGCAACCGCCGTCGCAGCCCCGCTGCCATCGGTTTATCTGCCATGTTTGCGCATTCGGACGCACTTGTTTCGCGGCCGCTTAGACAATACCCCCATAGTACCCCTGAATCGTGTCCCTGATTTCAACTGTGAATCGAAATGATAGAACGACAACGAAGCATAAAGAGTGAGAAATTCAGAATAAGAAAAGAAAGTTTTGCAAAGATTCACCTAAAAAGACAAACCTAATACGTAGGGGGTTAAGAATTACATGTCAATTCATTCGCACGATGTTCATATCAACAGGATAGGATTCTATTCGGTCAAGCTTTGACCACCACTCTGACAAATACCGCAGTCGATAGAAAAGAAGGAACCATGGTGAAAACGATGACGGTTCTGAAAAGAAAGCTTATTTTACAGTGAACGAAATAATCATTCTATTTGAATTGGTTAGCATTGATCGCTTACCTCTCGATACCCATTCTGCCAGCTCCTGCTTGTCAACTATTCTAACATCACTCACTTCGGATGGATTTGGCGTGAGACGGCTAGGCGACAGATCACGCGCAACCACAACATAATCGAGCTCGTGCTCACCCCATAAGGAATTTTCCATAACAGCCTTGAAGGGTGTTTTTGAACAAAATAACTTCAGTGGCAAATATTCAAAGTACCTTCATCCTACCTTGTAGAGAAACCTTCCCATCACACGGCACTCTTCTGGTTTCAAATCCGTGACACCCAGTTCGTGCTCAACCTTCCTAACTGCTGCTGCAACGGCACCAGGACCGCCATTGAGTTCTACATCCGTAAAAAGTGGATGGCTGCAGCAAGTATTAGCCCACAAAAGTGGAAAAGTGATCTGAACGAGATTTGATGAATCCAGATAGGAACAATTTTTCAAGCATCGATATTGTGATTGTCGCATCACGACACTAAATTATTGAATATGTAAAAATTTAATTCAGATTCGTAATTTAACGACAGTACGATACTGTTGAAGATTAAATATGATTTCTAGAAAATGGCATCCTTATAAGCTAGAAAACTGAAATAAACATGGAAGGAGTTACCTTCTCCGCGCTTCTTCTCTGCAATATCAATTTCTTCTCCGGGGTGAAAGCGAAAAGGCTGAACGCTCGGTGAAGACCCACTGAATATGTAGTAGGAAGATTGAAAAAAAAAACAGAGAATATGACAACGAAAGCTTACGTGTATCAACTCGGTGGGCATCACCTTTAGCCACTCCTCCTACGACATTGTCATTTTCATCTACAGATATACATTGCTCCGACAAGTATCCAACCTGCACCGGATCATATTTTTCTAGTAATGCTTCTTTTGGCAGCATCCTGAAGTATGAAGGTAAACTATGGGTAATTTCTGTGAAATTTTTCTCAACATTCAAATAATATGAATTAATAAAATAATGATTATACACATATAAGAAAAATTTAACGTATAACCACTACAAGACCATCATCCCTTCCTTCTGAATATTGCTTCAGGCAACCTCTTTCAAAACACCCCATCCCATCATGTGACAAGGCATACCTACATGTTCTGCTACCGACATCAGCAAAGAGAAAGAAAAGAAATCCATTCCGGCCTTGTTTCTAATGAGGGTGTGATAAATTGCGCCAGTAGCATTGGGTGAATGCATCATCGGAAAAAACTTGTTTGTGTGAAAAAGAACAGTAGGAAAAATGCGGCTTACCACATGAATATCACACAACTCAAGACAAGTGCTTGGCGAAGACGACGACACAACACACACCACGCACTCACCGAGAAAAGCATGACATATGGTGTAGGCTAAAGCCTTAAGCAAAGCTACATTGGAGAGCAGCAAAATCCCCCAATTAGAGTTTGTTCTGTGGTACATTTTCACCTAAGCAAAATTATGACTATGGTGTTTCCCGGATGGGATTGCAATCGAGTACATGGTACTAGACTTTTATCTAGAATACTGTCTAAAGTCGACTACTTAAGTCAATGAATGACCGTTCATTTTACCACAGTAGCTTGTCTGAGCAGAAAATTTCGGCTAATCTTCTTCTTGAACTTCGTTTCAGCTTATGCATGGCTGCAGTTTAAGCGATCAGAACGAAGTATGGGTACCAAAGAATTTTCCTTTTTCACACCTCATATCTTAACGTTCACCCTTGCACAAAACAATAAGTGGGGTACAATTGTGACGGGTCAGAGAAGAGAACGCAAAAGAAAATGTTAGAAACTGCTAAGGACAAAATGTAATTTAAGGATTTGCCATTAAATAGTTTGAGATCGCAGCGGAACCGAAGAGAAAGCACGATTGTAGTTGATAAACTAACAAGAAAACCAAACGGTACAGGCCATTAGCTGAACGTAAAATCCTCATAAACGAAAAAATAAATTAAAACCACAACAATCAGAAAGCCGTTCATTGGTGAAACTTACCTTCTAGCTGACAAGGATAGTAGACGTCGCGCAATGGTATTCATATTGAAAACCAACCAAGGCTAGATTAACGAGCAGCAAAGCTTCTAAACAAATATGGACTAATTGAATTTAAACTGAAGGGCTTATATCTCCCTCATGATCAACATTTCATTATGACTAGCTGACGATCTTAAGGACAAGGGTTAGTTATGTGAAACAAATTGTCGCGATACTCACTGACTGTAGAACATCGGGAAAGCTATGAAAACAATCATCTGCTGATAAAATATAAGACAATCTTTACCAAAAAAAAGTAGCTCAAACAATGTTTCATCTAACATCGAAAAAATTTCACACCAAATTGCACAATATTGCAGGGCATTTATCGAGCCTCTTACGAAATAACGATCAGCACGAACCATATTAATATTTATTTTCTCAAAATTTAAAATTGGAATGTAACAAGGAAAAAAGCTATACAATCACATCATTTATGTTGGCTGATTCCGACGATGCAAAGCGACACATGCCGGACTACAAAACTTCAATTCCATGTATTCGAAACCAGGCCCTGTGTAGGCCACACCGCACTGAAACATTACAACATCATCAAAAAAAAANNAAAAAAAACTTCGTGAAACATAAGGAGGATATGTAGTAAGTTTAGGACTAATTTATAAAAGGAACCTGTATACATCTCGGGCCACCTTCGAGTCGAGCTAATCTGGCTTCGGCGGCAGCAGCACGCTTTTCCCGATCTGACATCGCTAAGAATGCAGCACGAGCAGCCTAAAGCGTGGAATATAATATTATAGGAAATAATAATCACCAAAAATTAGAAGTGACTATTTTCAACCCTGATAGACAAAGAGATGAGCAAGTGAATACAAATGTTTGCATCTGTTCAAACTTCTTTGGATAGTATAAACTGATCACATACCAGCTCCTCTGCCTCCTTCTTTTCTATCTCTTTTTTCATCTTGATCTTCTCCTTTTGTTTCTGTTTCTTCTCTTTCTTCTTTTCAGACAGTTTGGCAAGCTGTTCGTCAGTGAGTTGAATCGGCTCCGGTATATGACACCTATGAATTAGGCCGGTAAATTAAATCTGAGCATTCTAAAGCAGAAAAGGAAAACAGAAGCTACGGAAAAAATATCGAGATGAAACAAAACTAGTAAGCTCCCGTAACATCCGCCCCCGTAACCTCTGATCTTCTCTACTATTTCAAATTAATTTCGACAAGTATTCGCTCCACAGAGCGACAGTCGCAACTAACAAGGATTCGTTGTTTGATCAATTGCAGAATGAAGAGAACGGAAATATGAAACCATAGCCTGAGACCGCGGTTCTATTTTCCCTCTCCCATATTTTTCCCATCTATCTGATAAGAGATTACTGATAAAGCTTGACCACCAAACTTTTGAAAAAGTATTGATGCTGATCAATAAACAAAAGACATCAAGGGTAAAAGAAACATAATCACATTATTTCAACAGTACCTTATCCAATCCCATCTTTTCGGGTTTTCACTGCGGAATCGGATGAACACTTGCTTAATCGATTTGTTTGCCGATAGAGCATATGGAACCAAATCATTGTCATCCTTGATTGATGGATCGCATCCAGCCTCCAGTAAATACTGAAAGTAATAAAAATTGGGTAGTTTTACCACTAGCTACCTCATTTCAGGCTGAGGCTCTGCCGAAAAAGATTAAAGCACGTAAGATGGAATTACCACTGCTTCGAAATGTTTTTATTATAGTGCCCATGTTAGCTTCTCAATAAATTTCGATCGTTACATCGTCGAGCTGGCATTTTTACTTTCTGAGGACTTGAACCGATTAAAGAGTTGTTAACATCGGATGCGCAGCTAAAAAACTCACGCCTCTATAACGGCACAAATGATTCTCTCCCGAGATCTTCTGAGGATTGGTATTAGTTTACGACTTTTTACATTTCCCTCTGAAGTATCAGAACAAAAAGAAGCCTGAAAGCTAAGCGACAGCCACGAGAAGTTGTTAGCGTTGCCCCGTAGAAAATTATCACATGTTCCGGTGTTTGAACGCAATATGAATTGGGAGGGGCTAGCATAAAGAAAAGAGAATTACAAAGTCTATTGATAAGTATAAAGTTTAATGAATCAGCAAAACGCGAAGCCTGTGATGAAACAATGATTGCCAACGAGGATGCCAAGTAAAACTGTATTCTGTATCGAGGTGCGCCTGTGAACGGAGCTGTCTTACCATCTTCAATTTCAACTGTGCCTTTGTAAAGCGCGATGGTAAACCCTAATGGTAAGTTGTTTTTTCAGGACTAGGCGAATGAGCTGAACTCGTCGGATAAAGCACAACCGGGCTGATAGAGAGAAACTACTTTGAAGTTTGGATTGCAGGTTAGTTATACTGAAATTCTGCCTGGCACCCATTGGTTTCCATGCAATCCATCTTCATCACTATTTTCTTTCTGGCACCGTCTTAGTCAATACGCCCTACTATAAAGTGACCAAAGGTGACAGCAACATAAACAACAAGATCAACTGTACACGTTTGCTTTGCTGAAATGGTGATATTTGCTTTATTCGATTCCTTCAGCAAATGGTTACAAGAAAAACATCTCATGTTTCTCATCTAATATTGATGCACTTGGTATTGCATCCCTAGAAAGATGGTCGACGACTTCATAGGAAGACGAATAGCCCAGTTCACGCAAAGCGCTAGGATGGCAAAACATAGATTCTCGCTCAAATGTGATGCCAATAAGCAGAATTCACAATAAAAAGCAGCGTTTTGGGGTATTCTTATTCGCACTCGTAGACCATCTTTAAAAAAATATTGGGCTCAACCCATTTTTACGGCATAATTTTTAGACCCATAGAGCATTATCACCATAGAAATATTTACGAAACTCTTATCCAATCATGAATTACCTGTAACACCCTATCAGCTCCACCACGTGCTGCAAGGTGAAGAAAAGTTCCATTGTCCGATGAAAACCGATTGGTGCTCAGGTAATCGGTAATCTGTAAGGTTTGAAATCATTGTTGAGAAAAAAGGGGAGGGATAAACAGCCTAACCTCTTTTTGCTCTTCTGCGCTACATCCAGATATCAATGCTGCGAGCGCATCCTCTTTGTTCTCCTTGACCACAGAGTAAAGTTCCCTCCGGGTCGCTTTATTCAATGTTGGCCATCGATCTGGTTCATGTTGTTGTTCTTCAACTGGCACCACTGGTTTCAAGTGATCCGTCTAAAAAGCTAGTTCATTTGTGCTGAGCATATGAGCAACCACTTAAGTCATAAGTGAGAAATGTCTAGGAAAACTGGTCCAGTTTGGTCTGCCCTCACTTTTCTTTCTTTAGAAGGTGTTTTCTCCTTATCTTCAGGATCTACTATCCAGCGTGTCTCAGTTCGCTTCTTCTTCAACAAAGTCTTCGCCTTCTGCTTTCGCTTTGATCTTTCAGCAAGAAAGTCTTTCAACAACCCATGGCATGTGACGGATCCCAGCCGTTCCCATGTTCTTCGTACTTCTTCCAAGAGTGGCCGCTTCGTCTCAAATGGAATAGTTCTGGAAATTAGCGATTCACAAGCCTAATAATCTCTAGATCGATTAATACATCATTGCCGCAGAAAGACTGCACTTATGATGCAAAATTGTAGCATTCCCACCTCAACCTTGGATCCTTTCTGTCAAAACCACTCCCATCAATATCGTGGAATATCACACGTTGGAAACTAGCGCAACGAATAAATATCAAAGGTGTAGATGAGAGAAGTTTCGACCATGTTTCTAACACTTTTACAATATCTTGGGCCAGAGCACGCTCATTATATCTGAAATGCACGACTTATTATTATTAATTACATCAAGAACGATAAAGGTTGGATAAAAATTCTGAAAAACAGGAACACACAACAAATAGTGACCCCTGAACCCAACGAGAGCATACTGGCCAACTTCTTGGAGTACTAGCGTTCTAACGTTATTGAATTTATGGCTTTTTATTAACCACGATTAACATAGTATCTATAGTATCCGCTGAATGCAAGGCTGAGCATGGAAAAACTTTAATCGGAGCAATAGAAATGAATTATAGCACTCAGTTCATCGCACTTATGGAACATGACAGCAGCGCCGTACTTCCTCTTCGCATTGCCCCCCTTTTTGTTTCCAATGCTCAGTTATAACTACTCCTTAAATTTCAATCCCTTTGTCTCAACAAAATCTTTTCCCGAGCCGCCGTTGTTTTATCTTAGATGCACCACGCGACCCACAATGGTCTACAGACTGAACCGTGTTAACCGAAAATTCTCTTTGGCCACCGTGTTCAATTCTCAAAAGAGTTACTTCGAATTCTGACCTACACTGGTGGACCAGATTTGATGGTAACGACAGACACTCATCGTCTTTGTACTCTGTACTCTTGCACTGCACTGCAAGAGTACTCATGTACTCTTGCATGTGATAAATATTATTATGAAAGCCAAAACTTCTCACCTACGCAGGGCAGCACCAGCAGAGTGTATAGTCCCCTTTTCCTTGTCTTTTGAGCTCTGTACTCCACCTTGTTTAGCTCGAATAACGTATCGATGAAACGCTTTATGTGCCACGAGTTTATCACTGAAAAATTTCACATCACCTGCAACACTGATTCATTCTATTGGGCAAAACATAATTGAATATGAAAAATTCCCAAAAAAAAAACAGAAAATTGGATATAAAAGTAAAAAGAGGGAAAAAATAATTACTCTTTGAATATTCCAGCAGCAAAGTGACCGCCAGCCAAGAGAAATATGGCGCAGTCCAGAGGTCTAGAGAAAGTAGCCAGTGAGATAGTGGACTCCCCGTGATGAAGAAGGCAGCTGCAACAGAACCATCACGCAGAATAGACCAAAAGATTTTCCGATAAGCCTAACATACATATAAACCTGGTCATATTCTTAAAAATAATCATTTCACGTGCTGCATAGACAATGCAACTGTCATGGTTAATGCCAATGATCAGTTTAAACATCAGAAGATGCTCTCGTAAATGAATTTCATAGAAAGAGAAGCTATGTGAAGATACAAAATGTTGTAAAGCCAACCATCTGCAATTTGTTTGACGAAGAACGGTATGATCTCAGTGATTGCAACTCTCGAAGCACTTATAAACTGTCGTGAAATTCAAAGTCTGCGAAACTCACCGATACATTGAAAACACTTCGTCATTGTGTGTGAAATATATATGACTAGAGCCAAGCATCATGGGTAAATCTTCGATGTCAGAGTCATCAGAATCAGTTGAAGATGATGGCGCTTCGTCGCTAGCTGAAATACATAAGTGCTACCATTATGAAAAGTGGATGCGAAAAAAATTTAAAAAGAGAAGTTTTTGACAGCAGTAGATGGTCGGGTGAAAACTACGCCGCTTCATAGAAAAAACGACTAATGAAGTAGACTGCATGATACAGATAGAAAGAAGAGGCTCATTAACAACATTCTCTGATTTCATTTCCTACGTCCAGACAACTGCCTCTTTCGTCGATGCAGGGGAACTAAAAACATTTTCAGGTCATCCTATCACTCTGAAAAACACATTGCTGTGCGTCTCGAAAGGCCTGAGGGATGCAAAATAACTCGTTCTCCATTCCTAGTAGAGCGCGAACTACAAGAGGGACGTATAAAGCTTTCAGTTAAAAAATGAAGTTCCCTGCTCAAGAGCTTCCACAAAAATCGAGAGAAAAAATGGAACTTTTGTGCTGGCGCTCCATGAGAAAATGGTGTTCTAAACTTTTGGCAAAGGGCAATGGCAAATCAAAACTACCACGTTCAAATCAATTGGCTCCCGGCAGCCATTTAGTGAATAATGAGCAACGCACCTTTTCTTTCTTCTTCTCCCAACATTTCAAATTGATCCTCGGTTAACGGCTGTCGACCTTTGAGCAAATTACGCGCATTGAAGCTGAAACAAACAAAGTCTGATCAGGTGGAAACTGCCTAATTTCAAATTATGGTAAACATAAAGGTAGAATAACATTGCAAACGCATGGAAACTTCAGAGAATGGTTCAAGAAATGTTATATTAGAGACTCTACACTGAACTACATTGGTATCATTGGTGTATTAGTATCATTCTGATGAGCTAGGAAACCTCTTTGGTCAGCAGTGATCATCCAAACAAACGATTTTACAATATTGTAAAGGTTTTCCNTGATTACGTATAGACGTATAGAGGATGGTGACTAGGAAACAGAAGTTCATACCGATGCCATTGGCTGCGGTAGTGGGTGATTATGTTCTCCCTGTCATCGTCCGCCATCGACCAATCACAGGATGTACATTTGTGTCCCTCTTCTGCAACAGCTAATTTATAAACATTAATTGGCCACACTATCAAGTTACAATTTGCAAAGTGTGCTTACCAAGTCCTTTGAAAGGATCGAATTCCTCGTATGCTTGCGAATCATCATCATGCGATGGTTGCTGGTCAGCCGTCTCTGCGTTAGCAGTTTTGAGGCAGAGCTCTTCCACAGCTCCTGTTTGCCATCGCAAATCGTGTAAAGAAATAGACACCTGAGGCCGAAATTATTGATTTATTACGATTTCATTTTTGTCGCTTTTGGGGCGACTATATTACAGTGGATGACTTCGAGTGTGTCTCATTAAACCAGCGCAAGTGAAAGGTACCGTTCCTCAGTTCGAGTAAGTTACCGGTTTTGCTGACAAACACTAAACGATAAATGACGACCAGCACCAAACTAAAAATCAGTATCTACAATGCGAAATCGAAAACATCGAGTACAGTCGAATGCTGAATTTCGAGCCCACAACCTCACTTCTCGAAAATATACACAGAATAGCTAAATGTGACGGCAAATATATACGAAAAATATAATGCACTTGAAACGCATCTTCAAACCAAACAAAAACAAACAGTAGCTCATAGGAGAAAGAAATTGGAGGAAAATTAGTCTACAATATTGAAAATAATAATCATAATGCAACAAAAAAAAACGTTCTAGAATCTAGGGCAATCACAACGATAACAAGAAAATACGAAGGTAGACGATGACGCTCGCACCATTTATAGTCTGTTCGAGCACCTAAGGTAAATGCTATCCTAGCCAAAATCTGTCTTGGCCCCAGGGACTACATTTTAAAAGTCATTTTAATAGAGGAAACGGCTACAGGAAAGGGAGATAAGGTGGATTATGAAAGGATTGCTCGTTTCAAATGATTACTTTTCGAAGACCAAGTACAGGAACAGACGAAGGATAAGTGAAAGACTGATTCAATTGCGCATAACATTTTAAAAATCATCATTCTATAAATCGGGTCCTCTCATGCTACGGAATGAGATCGCTGATCTTTGTGAGCGCCTTCAAACATCACCTTGATCCCGCTATGGAAATCACCTATGCTAATGAGCACTTCGTGGCCGCGACGGGTAGTGCGTTGCAGCACCAGCGATAACCTCTAACCATGCATTAAGATCTTCAGCACTTGATGCGCAGATCCGATACACAGTATGCCGACCTTCGACCATTTTACCCGTCTGCTCCGTTTTGCATGCTTTTATCCGACCATCTTCAGATAATGAGAATATCTAAACGTCTACTCTTTCGACAAAGTAATGTGAAGGGAAAAAAGATTTTCAAATCCAAACCATGCCAACTTTACAAGTGCAGATACCAGCTTTCAGAATGACTCAGACTCCAACTTATCTTTATCTAATAACTGATTATAAGCGGCCGAAAGAGAGCCAAAACGAAAGAGCGAAAAGAGGTAAAAATGGAGCTCAGGCCAAAAGTCAGTCAGGATCACAGCCTTCATACACTGTATCTACAGTCTTTACCATTCCGAAAATAGAAAATTCTTGATGTACGTGGTACGATGCATAACACCTTAGGAAATTATCAGCATCGAAAAGAGGAAAACGATTTTAAACCAAAACTCTCCATCAGTTCGTCATCAAACTGCAAATCCTACCACCATACGCTCATCGTCTAAAAGCGTATGTTCATATCGCCCCCTAGTGGGACAGAGCGGTGAGGGGATATGGAGAATAGAGTCATATCGAATTCGCATAGAAAATATGCTGTGTTATGCATGATCAAATAATGAGCATCCATTCCAAGCTCAACACCCACACACATACATACACGTACATATACATACATGTACACGCACATAAATACACACATACATTCATACACACAAACACATCCATATACATGCACACATACGCACATACATACGCACACATAAGCAATAAATACGCATACGCACTCTCAACTGAAATATTTAATGAAGCACAAAGCGTTGAAGAAATTGTTGTTGAAAAAAACAACAAGGAAACAAAAACGCGAAGAACGCAGTAAGTTCTCGAATATGAACTCACTTCAAACATAAATGGACGAGAAGCCGACTCCACACGTCGTACTCCTACGTTTTGCAAGGGAATGATACCACGAGGTTCTTTGTCTGTAGTCTGATCGAAATAATACAGGCATGAATCGCTTAGAACAAACCTAAACGGTGTTTGTAATTTCGCAAGCGATTAATTCAACGTCTTCTTTCTATCAGTATCTGATTCCCTCCTGAAAAAGAAATCAGTGTTGATACTAACCATCTTCGTTTCCACGATAGCGGCCCAGATATAAATTGACTGCTACTTTGTTTGCACAACCAGCCTTCCCGATCAGGATGAAGAAATACATTATCCAGACGGGCAGCATCATCGCATGGTATTTGAAACTCCCGAGACCGAATGGAATCGTATATCTGGGCGAGAGTAGCCGTGCTAACTGAGCCAGCTTCCAAAAGTTCCTGTAATCCGTTAATCCATTAAATATGTGCTATAGTAGCCATCTAATTCTGCATTCAAAAGACATGAGAATTAAGAAATTGAAGAAAGTGACGTTCTTCAACGTCCATTGTAAATAAAAAAAACAGAAGAACGCCAATCTAATGTACTGAAGACAGAATCATTCAAATAGATTAAGTAAAATACGTCAAAATGAGCTATTTCGTACCTTATTCATGCTTTGATACCGCTCAAACGTAGGTCGATCTTTGACATTCGGATTGTGCAATAAAGTGTTGAGCATAATACATGAATATGCAATTGTAAAACACGTGTCAGCGTTATCGAATACACCTTAATATGACTCGATATAAATGAATGCAATATGACGATGAATTACAGAAAACGACACCAAATATTTCAGTAATGATCAGCTGAATGTCGTGTGAACGGATGTGCATGTTGCGACTTCCTTTGCCAATGGTCAAAACATTCAAATGTGAAAACATAGAGGAGGTTAGACGTCGCAGAAACGGCGAGTGAGACTGAAGTGATGACGAGGCTAATGGAGAGCAAAAGGAGCACAAGGAAGGAAGAAGAATTGTCGATTATTTTTTATCAGCTGTCGATCGTTTGGTCCTACAAGGGCAGTGGTGGGACACCAATATTGAATGCAGGTATAAAGGACATCAAGTAATGAAATAAAATCTAACAAGATTGGCGATGTTCGCATCTGAAGGTCCCCAATATATTGACAGGGGTTACAGAGCATTCCATCGTCTGCTAAGACCGGCCGTTTGGAGCAAGGCAAATATTAGTAAGGGGAGTAATACATTACACATAAAGAGGAAATATTGGTGTTATAAAAGGGATCTGAGGTCATAATCATTTCCAAAGGCAAGGAATAAAAGCGTGCTAACCTTATCCAATGTAAAAATCATCGAAAAACATGCCGTTTTAACATATTAAATTGCAGGGAATGGTTCACCTTCATTTGTAGCAACGTATTGTTGAGCAAACTTCTCCATAATTCGATCAATTTTCTGTGATTCTCCTGGCAACCGAAAAGACCATAGGAATGCTCTGCAAAAACCCAGTAAGCTATATTTACAAAAATGAAACCTTCTATAAACAGTAGGTCTGCTCAGTTGATCACTGTTCTCAATGACCTACTGGGGTCATTTCCTAATGAAGACTAAAGGATATGCGTCGGCGGAGGAAAAGGCCTTGTACTACAGATAAGTGATAGAAAACTTCAAATCGATAAACGGTATTGAAACGCATGAATGACTAAAAGAAAACAAACTGAAGTACTAGTACGATGGAGACAGAATTGTTTTCAAAACAAACCTAAGAGCATCAACGATGAACATGTTTTGGAAGGTATGGCATAGTACGAAATGGTCCAACACTTCAAGGTAGAACGGTTCATGGAGTCCAAGAAGTTCACCTATGGCTGTTTTCGAAAGCCCCTCACCCTGAATGCAGTGAAAATAGACATACCTCATGTGAAAATAAACTAGAAGAAATGCAATCAAATGTGAACCAGATCAGGGATAAAGCAGTAAAAGCTGACCTACCTTATATAACCATTGAGCTATAGCGCTTGGTTGTCGACTTAAGAGTCCTCGATCAGTAAGGTATTCGATGCCCCGCACAGGATCTTGATTGAACTTTTTCTTTCCCGTAAAGATAAGTTTATGTCGTGACCGTGAGCCTTCATCTACATAGTATAACGATTCAAGTTCAGCATCGACATCTCGGAGCTTAAAAATTCAAAATGTATCATTGCAACAAGTGACAATGGACAGTAATTAAAACATTTCGAATGAATACAGTGCGTTTCATAATTATAAGGTCACCCCAGATTTTTGCGATTCCGGAGAAAGCAGCCAGAATGGATTTTTTTGGAAAACACTGGTAGATTCCTCGTCACAATGTACCTCGTACTCAATTTTTGGTCGCAATATCTTTCACCTCAAATTTTTTACGAATTTTTTAAAGATAGTGTCGGCTTTTGCACCATTTCATAATTATAAGGTCACCCTGAGGAAGTAAATGATTTATCAATGTTAATGGCATATGTACAACAGTGAATAATCTATAGCTCCTCCTTGTTTAG